TCTGTGTGCTTACATCATCCACTTGCTGTTCCAGCTTGGTCTTGGCTTTGGTCAGAGTATTGACTTTGTCTTCCTCTACCTGCAGGTCATCCAGGGTCTGCTGATGTGCCTCTTGGAGGGCTTTCTTCTCCTTTGTCAGCTTGGCAATTGTCTCATCCAAAGCTGCCATCTCCTCAGTCAGGTTTTTCACCTTTGAGAAGAAGGGAGCAAATATAAATAAAGGAAGCAGCTATAGATGTCCTCCAATGGCACACAGCCCATTTTCTGGAGTGAGAGTGACAGGTTCTACCTCATACCTTGTTTTCAGTGGCATGTTTTTCCTTCTCCACCTTGGCCAGTGTTAGCTCAAGGTCATCAATATCTTTCTTCAGCTCTGAACATTCATCCTCCAGCTTCCTCTTCTTGGCTGTCAGCTCAGCATTGATTTCCTCTTCTTCTTCAGCCCTTTCTGTCAGCTCCTTAATTTTGGCTTCCAGCTGGATTTTGTTTTTGATGAGCTGGTCACATCTTTCCTCTGCATCAGCCAAGCTATCTGCTTCCTGGTGGGGAGACAGAAATTTGTGGGTTCTGATGTTTTGAACTTTCTCTGCTCTGCCTCTTTTATTACTGAGTAACAGCTGAACATTGCATTCAGTTCCAGCAACAGAGAGATCTTGAGTGATGTCTACTGGTAAGCCTTGTCATTTGGAATTCAATATTTATTCCAAAGTTTTGTCTCCTAAATATATCTCCCAGGCTGACTAGCTATGAGAATGCCTCATAACACTCACAAGCAGAATGGAATAGGGGTTACTTCAGTTTCTAGTTTCAGCAGGAGTAATGGGTTGGAGTAGTTTTCTCATGTAAAAATATGCAATATCTTCTTCTGTTTAATTAACTAGTTAACTTTATAGTATTTCAGCAATAGAAGTTTTATGAGAATACTTCAGTGCAGAAAGATTTGGTTTTTTTGGTCAAATTGCGTTTTCCTTATTGAGTCTGGAGAAAAAGTAGGTTATTCTCAGGTTTGTTTTTACAGTGTTAGACAGAAACACTGGTTTGAAAATTATTTCTCTTCGAGCTCCAAGTTCTCCACGGTTCAATACACATTGTCTGGTGCTACATGGCTCTTTCCTCACACAACAGTAATGGTGAGTGCCATATGGGTCAGCCAGCAGTCTCAGTATGCCCCTGCTGGTGCCTGTTTAGTCAACATTAGAGCGCCTCAGAGTGTGTGATTTAGACTGTTTTCTTCTACCCATTAATTCCTGTGAGTCTTTTTGCAGGACAAGAAGCATTCTGACAGTACATCGTTCTTTTTCCAGAGGAAAATGAACAGTGATACTCACAGCCTGCACTTGGAGCTGTAGGTCATTTTTCTCCTGCACCAGGGCCACCATTTTCTCTTCCAGCTCCTTCCGCTTTGCCTCAGACTTTGCAAGCTCTTCCTTGGTTTTCTCAAATTCTTGTTTCATGTTGGCCATTTCTTTCTCAGACTCTGCACTCTTCAGCAATGGCTTGATCTTGAAGAACAGCTTCATCCATGGCCAGTGTTTGACATTCATGAATGAGCGAACGTTGTACTGGATGCAGAAGATGGAGTCCCTGAAAACAAATCCACATGGTTATTGAATATCCTGTGCTTGGCGAATTTTGTCTCAATTTGCCAGCTACCATTAGAACATAACAAATGAGGGAGAAGTATCGACCTCCGCTCCACCATTCTCTGGTACTCCACTCTCATCAGGAAGCCTCTGGACCTGGCTTGTATCATGGTCATAATCTCTGCCAGTTTCTCATCTCTCATCTCCTCTAGCACACCTATCAGTCCAGCTTTGAAGAACACCTTGAGAAAGGGAAGATTGTAGTACATCAGTGTTGGTAGTGCATTACTGGGGCACACTATATTTTAATACAGAACTTCATTCTACCTTGGTGTGCCCAAATCTGTACTGGGTGTGGTCAACATCAATGGACCCAAGGAGCTTCTCTGAAGCCTTTTTGTTATCCATGAACTGACCTTCTGGAATAGCACTGGCATTAAGTACTCTGTATCTGTAGGAGAAAGCAGAACATTAAGAAATCAACAGTTCTGAAACCATCACTGTGATTGGACGTCACTGCCTACTCAGCAACAGCTGAATAATATCATGTTCATGAATAATATCACGAGAATGCATTCTTTCAAGACAGTGAAAGACATGAAAGAAATTGCAAGAGAGTGCAAGAACCATTCATACCATTAACTAAGAGTCCAAGTGACTCCTCACAATCAGCATAAAATAAATCATAAATTCACAACAAAACATGACAATGTAAAATGTAAAGATTGTTAAGATGATTAGTCAGCTTGCTCTGAGTTGGCAGAAAGGTTCAGAGCTCTCACCTCTGTTTGAAGTCAGCATAGAGGACTCTGCTGGGGAACCCTTTCCTGCAGATCCTGATCCCTTCCAGCACGCCATTACAGCGCAGCTGGTGCAGCACCAGCTCGTGCTCCATGGCACCTGACAAATACCACCATTAGTGACCACCCTGCTGTTTGGCACTCAAGAGAAGAGCTTCTGCTGCTCAAGCTTTCCTCCCCTTGGCTTGCCTTACCAGGTGTTTTAGTTTCATTGGGGATGATACAGCGGACAAAATGGGGGTGAGTGCTTCTCAAGTTAGCCATCAGCTTGTTCAGATTTTCCTGTGAGATTACAAGGAAGAGTTCAGGCTCAACCAAGTAAAAACCCCATGCCTATTTATGATGTGCATAAAAAAAAAAATTAGTCTTTCTGGGTCTTGAACTATAGGAAATGCATAATTATGTTGGTGTAAAAATTGTATAAACATGAATCTGACTCTTAGTGAATTACAGGTTGTCTTCTGACTGCAATTTCACTGAACTCGTATGTTATTTAAATAGATATTTTGATGAGGAAATGAATTCTGCTCTTACTCTGAAGAGAGCTGAGACAGTCTGGAAGGAAGAACCCTTCTTCTTGCCTCCCTTCTTGCCACCACCACCAGCATCTGCAAGTCACAGAAAAGAAAAAGAAACATTTTTTTATTATGGGCAATAAACACTGGATACTACAAAACACAAACCCACTTAATATTCCTTGTGGTTTTAGCTTTAATTCGAAGAAAACCATGCAATAATAAAAATAACATTTGCACAAAACGCACCTGCATCTGCTCCACCATAGTTGGCAAAGAGTAAAGCCAGGGTCTTCACAGATGATTTCTGGTACAGCCCAATGACAGTTTCATTCAGAGGGTCCTTGTTCTTCTCCAGCCACCCTGTGATGTTGTAGTCCACTGTGCCAGCATAGTGCACCAGGGAGAAGTGGGCCTCAGCCTTGCCTTTGGCAGGCTTGGGCTTCT